GCGGCGTTCATTATATCGGTATCGGAAGAATGTAATCTATCCGCAATTAAAGGATGGAATTTTTGCGAGCGATGTACGCCGTGCAGGAACTAGACCCGGAACTGTATTCTATATTGTTGCGGTAATAAATCGGCGCGATTTATGTTGCGACGGTGTGAAAACGGTTTCTCGGATGTACCTCTTGAATTTCTGATCGCCGACTTCCTCGAAAAGATCCTAAGACCGTGATAAAATGAAACTTCTTGTACTTCCTCGTGCGACAATTTACAATTGATCCACAAATGTATCGAGAATTGATGGAAAAGCCTGATGGAAATTGATTTCGATTATTTTCATCAATATCGCGTGTCTCACACTTTCATATTGTTCGTTAAAACATTGTATAACCCGTCAATTTTGTGACATGACATGCAATAAGATACAATTAATAAGACCAGCAATTATGTCAATGCAATTTCTAAGTGCAGGAGTTTCTTCTCTCATTACTACGTTTGTCGCGTTTTAATTGAATCATTCTAATTCAATGACAATTCTAAAAACGTCGCAGAGACGAAGACCTTCTCCGCGAGAAAAGTTGGCGGCGGGGAGGGAGTCACTTTGCGAAATTAAAATCGTAATTAAAATCTCACGAGTTTCCTACGTGCTCAATTAAAGGGCAGCGTCGGCAAAAACGACAAGCAACAGAGACGTCGTTCGCGTGCCTTTTCTTTGTCTTCTAATGACGGAGCGTTTAAAAGCGTGGCATCCTTTCCCCGCGCGCCGTCCTCGCCGCCCCCGTAATTTCTTCGCAACCCTTGCGTAATCGCGATTATTTTACGCGACGTAAATCCGACTGAATTCGTTGCACACGAAGTCGGTGCATCTCTCGTGTCGAACGCGTCCTCGGCTCGGAAATCGTGCTTCTGTTTAAAACACGCCAACGACTCATCTCGCCTACACGCGAGACGATACTAAATGCGTGGATCGCGGGTCGCTGTAATCGGAAGGGAAAAAACGGGCGATATCACGCAGCTTCCACGGTGGATCAGCTGTTCTATCCATGCCATGATGATGAAAAATGTGTAATTCATACACGCCGCACGAATATTCCGGATAGAGATGAGTTAAAAATGCGATTCCGTTCGTATGGGCTAACTAAAGTTGCAACGCATCGGGAAGGCTGCAACGTATTACGTAAATCACCCTGTGGGTGTCATAATAATATCGTCGATGTTTGCAACGCGTTCGCCGCAAATTCAAGTGTGTTACTTTAACTGAAGCTCTTCTTACACATTTTTTGCCGTTTTAAATCACATCATTTAACACAGTTGAACGTATTAACTTTTAATTTAATGCGATTAAACGTGTTAGTTTAACACGCAACAAAACATATGTAAAACGAGCTTTAATCAAATGTGTCATTTTCAGGCTCAATTTCACCAACGTCGATTAACTGTAACCTTCGATTAAACTCACTGTTCGTCTCTTTCTAATTGTCCTCCTTAGAATCAACGTTGGTGAAATTGGGCCTTAGACGTTTATGCGTGTAGAAATAACACACTTGGATTTACAGTGTTATTGCATATAAACGAGTTAAAACGAGTCTCTTTTCGAGGCTTGCGCGATCATTCCCATTCAGTAAAGAAACTAGGTCTGCGTTCCGTTATTTTTGAAGAAGCTACGGTTTCTGAGTACCTCATACAGTACGCGTCACTAGAATACGAATTAGAAAAGAAGCGCGCGATAGATTTTGCAAAGAAATAGCGGAGGAGGGAAAAGCACGCGATATTTCGATCATCTCGCTCGCTTGCGAGAGCCAAGCCAGCAATTATTGGCAATGCGGCGCGAATATATCGATCACGTGAATTGTCCCAATGATTGCGTGGGAACACAAATCACTCGTGGGACATAACGGTGCGCGTTAAAGGCGCGGTCGCGCGTTGTTCGAAGGCGACCGAGGAAACGGTTTAATTTCGCGGAACCGCGCCGCCCGCGTCTGTACGAAAGGCGCGCGTTATATCGCGCATAAATCAGCGCCAAGTTCGGCCGCACTGATTTCGAAGTGCATCGTCCTACATCGCGCTTTCTAAGCGCGACTGGAAATTTCTGCGAAATTTCGCTACGCGTAAGTTACCGAATGGGTAACATCGCGGAGAAACGGCCGTGCGATTTGCATAAGAATGCCGCGTGATTGCCGAGAGACCCGTCGAGTTTTGCGGAAAGAAATCACGACGATTCGCGGGGACCGCGACCGGATCGACGAGAAAATGATCGGATTTTTCGTTTGAAATGATTTTTGAATTCGCAAAGCTGCAAATTCGATGCGGACTAACGCACATATTGCACATTCATAGAGGGCTGCAATTTGCATAAAAGACTCGCACGTTGGTGCTCGCCTGTTGCTCTACATTCCTAAGCGCGCTCAAGGTCCTCCTTTTCTTCATCAAGGATGAAAAATCCGTCGCTAATCCTTGCATACCAATGCCCAATTAATAGTGAAAGTTTCCGCGCTCGTCCAGCATTAACTAAGAACCTTCGGATAGGCGCCAATTACGATGAATCACATCTAGACGTTGTGCTTTGATATAAGTTCACCATTTCTATATCGGACACTGCCGCCGCAACAATTATTGAAACGTGACGGGATAATATTGATTGAAAGAAAAGCAAAATGATGCCTGCAGCTTATATCGTGCAGTTAATTTACTTGGATGATACCGCAGACGATGTATCGACAATTTGAAATCGTCTGAAATCGTGCAAATTGCAACGTGTGCATCCGACGCCGAAATAACACGTAGAATAACTCTTATGTAAGGAATAAGATGGAATCGCCTTTCAAGGAATCGAGTGAATCCTCTCTGAGGTAACGCCTACACAACTCACGAATTTACGGAGCATGGCAGCGGTCTCTTTCTCTGCCGCGTTCTCTGCCGCGTTCTAATAACGCATTGACTGGCCCTTACATAATTGGAAAGCGCTCGTGATTTTCGCACTATAATGCCGAATTAATACGGCGGTAATTAAAGCGTTGATGTCCGCTGAGCAAGGTAAACGCCCAGGGATTTATAGCGCAACAATCGAAACTTTATATGCCCCACTTTTTCGCGTAGCGATTATTAATCAACTGATCTCTCGAGGCAGTTGATCGATAAAAATATTGGGGTATACATTGAAAAATACATTATATACACAGAAAAAAATGTGTCAAATTAAGATTTATATACTCATATATACGCAACAATCTACAAATCTTCTTATTAAGAATTTCAATTTTTTATTTCAAGTTTTTTTTCTTGGTTGAAGTATATAAATGATTTCATTCAAGCAAGTTTGCTTAATTTAACACAATATAATTTTATTTCAAAATTTCCACGTTGAAACTAAAAATACTTTCAAATCAAGAATATTCTTTTTTCTGTGTACCTGTAACCTATTTTACGGGCTACTAACTTGTCCAATGTTAATTTATTGAAAAATTCGGGAAATTATGCATCGGTTATTCTGTGATGTTAAAAAAAATACGCGAATATTCGTAAATATTTTTTAATGACGAAAGAACAATGGGATTTGTGTATATTTATTCTTATCGTACTTATATCGCGGAACGATTTCATTAACCCTTAAGCACGTAGCATTGCATATATGCAGAACAATTTTTCGATGCTCAGTGACTCTTCCTTATGAAATTATGAAAACGCGCGGCTTTGCACATCTGTAAAAGGACTAGAAAGTCCTTCTTTCCTTTCCGAATGGGAAGGTCCTTTTTTAAATATTTGTTTAGGATTCCTTAAGCAGTCATTATTTACTTAAAAAACACTCAGAATGCTACGAAAAATTGTGCATTTAAAAGTTAAGATATAGTTCTCTGAGAAATGTAAGTTCGACAATGTTCAAGATGTATTTAAATATACTTATCACACGAGGAAGGATTTACTTAAGATAACTCTGAGAAATGTAGAATCGATTTTCAGAGATCTACTTAATAAAAAATCAAGGTGGATACTACGTCACATCCCGGACTGCCGATTCCTCCCGGCAATATACTTCTCACTCAGTCGTTACCGTGATCATACCTGATTACACGAAACACAGTAAGACGCGCGTATAATCCCTCGCGATTATTTCCACGGTTAATCAGCGGTTTTTGCGGTACGCTCTAGATATTTACGGTTTTCGGCGAGCGATCACGCGGCTCGGCGCAGGGCTCCTTTCTACTTCTGCCACCGTCCCACGGTACCCGCCGGGCGTACACGTGACTAACGAGCACGCGAGGCACGTGCACGCATGCCAGACCTACTAAACAACTGTCAGTAGGTCTGGCCACGAATGAAGGCGAGGGAAAAGTGGGAAAAAATAATGCGAAACCGGCCGGGACCGCGTGTGTTTTATCCACCGTGTCGCGAAGTACCGTGCAACCTTGGCAAGTACATCGGCAAGAGAGGCCCCGCGCGCGCCGCCGCCGCGCCGCGAAGAGATTATGGGTGATATCTGTAGAAGCCGCGGCGGAAATTATTTCGAAACTGGTCTCATTTGCTTTAAGAAAACGGAGAGGGGGGAGGAAACTTGCGTAACAATGAAAAAAATTCAAAAGGCTACAGCTCCCGGCATTCATGTGCGCTAACCGCCAATATTGAGTAACTGCTTGTTGAATCATAAAGGGGAAGTCGTGGTTACATCCGTAAACCATTTTTGTTTAATGTCCATTTCTACTAATGCAGATTAATTTTAATCTTGGTTTAACTTACATACTTCTCATCTCTTTCTACTTCTAAGAATTAGAAGAAGATAAAAAGTAAGTTAAACTGAGATTAAAGTCAATCTGATTGGGAGAAATGGGCATAAGTCGCAAATTAAAAACGGTAACAAACTAGACTGTAAGCAAAAGATTGATTTTACTTGCTGAATGGGTAAACGATTTTTCTACGTGCTTTCTTCGATCGCAAAGTTGCGATATATACGTATATCTAGATATCGATACATGCGTTAAAGATGACGTTCTTCTTTTTGCTGTGTTACAGAAAACTTGGCGCCATCCGAATTGAAAAAGCTGAGAAACAAACAGAGGAAACAGCGCAGAAAGGCCGAGCTCGAACGGCAGCAGGCCGCTCAGGCTCAAGAGAAAAGAGAGCAACATAATAAATCTCGGCAGCAGAACGACCCTGATCTCGAGCAGCCTACGCTAGACGAATTAATTCCGGAAAAGCTAGAAAGGGTTAGTATAAATATATGAGATGATAGAGGAGGATGGAGAATGTTATCTTCGATTAGCTAGCCTTATCATTTAAGCGTTGGCACTGAGATGTCTTTTATGCAAAATATAATTTCTTTAACGGTAATTAAATTAATATTTTTTTCAGGTCGAAGATCCACTGGAACAAGCGATAAAGTTTTTACAGCCCTTACAGGAACTGGCGTCGAATCGGATAGAGACGCATCTCATGGCTTTCGAGATATATATTCGAAAAGGTATTCTAGGAGCATATTTTTAATAGCGTATATATAAGTCAAGTTGCAATTGATGGAAATCCATTTTGCAGAACTGATTAACAATCAATTGGCGTGAAACAATAAATGTCTGTTTCTCTTACAGGTCGCACTCTTCTCATGTTACGCTCGATAAAACGTGCTCATCGATTGGACGTGAATAATCCAGATCTGCATACGTGTTTGGTGCGTTTTCTGTTGCACACCAATAAATCGCCGCTGGAAGGAGCGGTCGGCGAGGTGGTGAAGCGTCAAACCGCCGGAATCTTCTCCAGTACGAAGGCGGCCCAACTGAACGCCGAGTACTTGAAGAAGAACAGGAATTCGCTGCCGCATCTGCTGCAGGGCGCGAGGATGCTGTACGTTCTGGATCCGTCCGTGCAGACGAAGGCGCTGTCCCTCGTGACGAGCATCGAGGAACTCGAAGGCGTGACGTTGCAGAACTGCACGAAGGTGCTCGATGCATTGCGCAACGGCGACTTCGGACACTGTGACGACACGATAGCCGACTACATGACGAAATGCCACGTGCGGTTCCCATTCGCTACCGCATTTCGGCCGCCCGAGCCGAAGGCCAACAATCATCAAGAAAAAGAGAATTCGATCAAAAACTGATCCAGGCACGCGCTATTGCAGCGTCACTGAATCACTATCATAATTAGACAAGTCAATGGAGAGCCGGGGTACGGAAGCTGATTCTTCTGATCTGCGCTAGAGGACGTTAAAAAATCGCGTTTTAGGTGCCGTGGTAAAGAAACGAAACGAAATTGGCGAAATAACTAATCGAGTAAAGCATGTGTTGTACACGAACTGTTCTTCGAGGGTATTTCACGTGCGAAAAGTGCTAGGACAGTGCTGGATAAACAATCCTAATAAATTATAATATACGACGAGGTGCGGACCGCCCTACAACTTCTGGAACGCGGTCCGGAATTTTACAGGAAGGAAAATAATGAGAAAAAAAAAGAGAGGACGACTTAGCTAAATATTAGTTAACAATCGAGACCGATTAATTTGACACGTTCTGCTTATCGTGGGCGGCGACGCTAAACGCGAGGAGTGGGACGGGGATCAGGACGGGAGGGGAATAATCGACGAAAGTGCGGACTGTTTTGTGGTACGGGACGTGCAGTGTGTAAAATAACACGTGCGAGAACTAACACATTGGTACAAAAAAAGACAAGACTTGTATACATACATACGCGCGCTCTAATGCGAATATTTCTACTCGACTTAAGGTGTACAATTTCCAGCGATGCCTACATAAATGCTCTACTATGTAGAGGCCGCAAAACGCTAGACGATCATCGAAGCACCGACTACTGTACCGTGCATATGTCCGTCGTCGCATCTGGATGGACTCCGTTCCCCCACATCGTGTACTAACTTCTGGTTCGCCTCACCCGTGAACTGTTGATTTCAATGAACAAAACGATCTAACGCTTTTCCTCCTAGACACACATTTAATTCCTGCGTTTTTGCCCAGGGTAATGATCTACGTTTGGATTGGAGCCCTGATAATTCCATCGAGAAGTCAATAAGGAAGTAGTGTCCGTTTGCGAAAGTCTCTGTGAAAGTTACTATAGGAACGATACTTTAAACTGCGTTTTGTATACGCAAACTACCAAAGTATATCATAAATCGAAAAGCCGTTAGTGTGTTAATAGCGAATATCATCGTACGTGTGTACATCGACGGATTGCGGAAATTTTAATAAATACAAGGTTTAAAGCCTACCGGTACAAGTCAAAGGATGTTATAATTACCTCGTTTGATTTCCGAAAATAATGCTACATATTTATAGGTTTTCAGTTTTTCCCGTAAAAAAAAAAAACACATTTTCGATACGAGATGACGTAGATACTACCGAGCTATTAAAATAATGTTTGTACATATTTCGGGTACTATATCAATAAGTGTATAATGTCTTACGACTTTCTTTCGAATGAGCGACAAATGAGTTTGCCGCCGATCAATATTGTCTGAATGTTTATCACCTACTCAAACACGTCATAACAGTAATCATAAACATATAGTAGATATCTACACACGTTTGATTGTATTAGTTATAATATATATTTACCTCCTTAATCACCCGTAAAGTATCTCATACCGGCTATTATCACAAAATGACGCGAGTGGTGAATCGATGGAGAATAATTTTAACAAAATAAGATCGGTTGTCCTCTAAAATCATTTTTTAATTATTCCTTCCGTAAGTGCATGGAAATACTTCCTGGAAATTATAAACTTATGAAATTAAGAAAAATTGCATATAATCGTTTTTGTTGATTGCGGTGAAATTACTCTAGAGCTGATAGAGAAGAATTATCGCTCAATAATTTAGGTTGACTTTCTAAAGCTTAATGTAAACTACTACATTATTGTGTACATTTCTATTAATTTATTAAGAGTAATTGGACTTCACGACTATGTAATCTCTTTGAATTTTTTTACTTTTCACTTAAATATTTTTTTTCTACGAAAGTATGAATGAAACTCTGTACGTAATTTTCATGTGTTCATGACAAGGTTCACATATTAATTGCTCCAATCTTTACCGGAGGTTATTACCTCGATATATAAGAACGATAAGAACTTTTATCACATATAGACAGGCATAAAAAAAAATAGAAAATAAATAACGTTAATTGCGAGTTGCATTCAAATTTGTCGAGAGTCTAGAATCGCCTTTCAATCCCCAACATAATATCGCACGAAAAGCTAGCTTGGGTTATTCTCTAAACCATATCTTCTTCCATTTTTTAATATAATTGGAATTCATCACACAGAATTAGAATAATTATTCAATACGAGTAGTGTGTCTTTTTTTGGAATTGCAGCAATGACAATTTTCATTAAATAATTTTGCGCACTAGATATCTGAACATTGGGACATTTAAATGAAATCTTTGGCGTTTTATACTCCACAATAGTCACAAATAATAATATCTACATGTTCTCAGAATTTGTCATCTTGTTACATAAAATTAATTGTATTAACAAGTTTATTAGTATATTTATTTGCTCATTCTGACGTATACCATTCTATGCTGTAAATCTCAATTTTCTACGATACGAACGACTTCTATGTGATGAATTCAGAATACCGCAATGTAATCGCGCTCATTGTCTCTAAACTTTCCTCGCATTGTAATCACGACTGAGGAAAATAAGTGAAATAGCATTTTAATTGAACGAATTCGAATATGTATAGTATGTACATAAAACACGTATTAACACACGCGCATATACATATATATATGTATCAAACGTCTTTTACGTTTAATCCGTTTCCTTTTAATTATATTACATCATCATGGAAACATTTATATATCATGTAAAACTGGTCTACCTTTGCTCCGCTTAATTCGAAGAAGAAATAAACATTGTTACATATTTCTATTATGCCATAAGAATATTGTGTCACTGTTTACAATTTGTACAGTTGGTAAAACGCATAAACCGAGAGTTGTGTCATATACTTAAAAATCTATCTTAGTCCTATTACACTTTGTTTTGCTTTCTGTACATTGTTTTATTTATTTTTTTCACGTCATCTGGTTAATTAATATTAGAACGGGATAAAACGGGATTATCAGATCTGCGAAGATCGAAGGAAGAGAGGCAGGTTTGCTTTATATAGCCTGCATTTGTACCTACTCTTAATTAATACTTTTATATGTAAATATTAGTGTCCTCTGAACTTCCAAAAAGCATAAAAGAAAACAAAATCAATATCCAGCAATACAATCGTAAATTGTATTTCCACGCGCGCTATCCGGTGATTTAACATTACTCGGGAAGGATTCATTCTATCATGAAATGTCAAGTGAAAAAATAAATAAATGAATAGAAACACATGAGAAGAAACATTTTTTTATTGAAACATACTACCACGAGAATAGCAAAGAAATACCTCTTCCAATTTTTATTAACTTATTATTCGTAGCTAAATAAACGTAATACTTTTTGAAAGAATAAAAAAAAATACAATACACGTGTCCGTTATCAAATCAGATTTATTCGTGTAAGACAAAATAGTGATCAACGTGATTTTAATCCTCATTTCTTTGATCTTCCTGTTTTGTCGGAGTTTGCGGCAATTGGTTCATCTCGGTCCAGTTAATGTCGCTGAAATTAATTTCTATTTTTGTATTCTTTGGGACGTACTGCCTAGAATAGAAACAAATGAAAGAATTTTTCCATGAGCCGTCTGCGATCGCAGAAATAAATCAAAATGCACGCAATTGCCGGAGGAGTAAGTATATACCTATACTTCACGCCCGCGGCATCGAACATTCTTTTCGCGGCTATTGTCTCGACTTTGTGAGCGTATTTGTCGGACATGTATATGACGCTTTTTATGCCGGATTGTATTATTACTTTCGCGCACTGGTTGCACGGGAATAGGGCAACATATATCGTGCAGTCTTTAACGTCGCTCGAATTTTTGTTCAGGACCGCATTCACCTCCGCATGACACACTGCAACCCAACGTTAACAGATTGACAAACGCTTTTTTAAATAATATCTCGTTCATATTATTTTTTAATTTTCTCATGAATATTTTGTAAAAAAAAAGTTGTTGATTGTACCATAAAGAAATTTTGCGTCTAAACTAGTATGGGGGCCCTTATTCCAAGGGAACTCATCGTCACTGCATCCCATGGGCATCCCGTTGTAGCCAATACCGACGATTCTCTTGTCATTATTAACGATACACGCACCGACCTGGGTGCAGGGATCTTTGCTCCGTTTCGCAGAGAGGAACGCAATGGCCATGAAATATTCGTCCCAATCAATGTACGACGTTCTCTTAGAACTACCTCTACATTTTATATATATAAAAAAAATTGGGTATCAATAACAATTGAAATTCGTATCCTAAATATCTTTATTCTCGCAACGTATATGCATTGTAGGAATAAATATATATATTTTCACATTGAAATAAAAATATACCCTTCGCATAACGTTCCCGCCATGGCCGGTCTTGAATTTCTCACGAGGACGCAAATCAGATGTTTAAGTATCTCTCGATATTTGAACGTGTTATGCAGATACAAAGAATTATAAGCCTTTGGATGGAAATCTAACCTACATAGAACAGATATATGTATGTACAATTGCCGCCAATTCTCGTCCAAAACTGAGAACATACGAGAGCTGACGAGACCAAAAGGATTTATCTCATGTTCAAGCCGGCAAAGCAGCTAACTTGCTCGCCGAGTGAGCTACAATTGTATATGATGATTATATATTATCGACAATCAGTAAGTCGGTAAGAAAAGAAGCAGGAGTGAAGAAGGACGACAGAGGCAGGTAGGGAGCGCTGGAGTCGAAGGATTGGCGGGACGAGTAAACAGCAGACAGTAGGCACAACAGCGAAGAGCGAACACTCTTGAGAAAGTGACGAAGGAAAATAAAGTGAATCAGCACAGGATGGATTGGATGGAGGAGTTGGTGATGGAACTGAAGCGGATAAGGCAGGAGTTGACGCAGATAAAAGAGATATTGACAGATGAGAGGAGAAGGGAAGAAGAAGATGATGAGACGAAACACGAAGAGAGCGAAGAGGCGGAGACGGAAGAGGAGAGAGAGCTATGGAGGAAGGTAAAAGGGAGAGCAGAGGAGAAAAGAAAAAAGAGACAGGAAGAAAGTGAGGAAATGGAGAGGGAAAAGGAAGAGGAGCTGGGCAGGAGAGAGAAGCGAAAGAAGAATATAATATGGAGGGGGATCGAAGGAGAGGAACCGGAGGAAAGGAGGAAGATAATGGAGATGATAATGGAGAAGGAGCTGGGGAGAAAGGTAATGGTGAGGGGGGTGGTGGAAAGGATGGGAGAAGGAGGAAAGGAGGTGCTTTTGGTGGAGCTGGAGGAAGAGAAGGACAAGAGAGATCTACTGGAAAGGGCATGGAAGATAAAGAAGAGATGGGAAATAGGTGTGGACGAGGGCTTGACAATGGAGGAGAGGAGAACAAGATGGAGGATAGTGGAGAAAGCAAGAATGGAAAGAAGAAAAGGGAGAAGGGTGAAGGTAGAGGACAATAGAAGGCTATGGATAGATGGAATGGAGTGGTACTGGGATGAAGAGGAGGAAAGATGGAGGGAGGCGCAGATATAGTAGGAGAGGTGAAAGACAGGTAGGACAGATAGGAAAAAAAGATGAACGAGAGGGTGTAGATAGTAAGGAATAAGCATAGAGGTATATAGAAGGTATTATAAGGGCTCAGTCACAATGAGAGGAATAAGAAATAAGATAAAGGAATAAGGAATAATTTATCTTATTCCTTATTCCTCTCATTGTGACTGAGCCTTAATAATCTAAAGCTATAATATCTAATATCTAAAGCTATTATATATAATAGCTAATTTGATCCACAGGTGATAAATGAGAAGAGGCGGTAAGGGGTAGATGGAGGGAGAGAAGGGGAATAAGGAAATGGAGAAGAAGGTGATTGGTACACGTAGAGGAAAGTAAGACGCGGGAAGGAAGGGCGATCGAGAAGAAATGGAGAAGAGGAGGGCAGGGTAGGAAAGAAGGGGCGAGGGATGTAGGTCGCACAATAGTATGTGAGGTCGCAGATGGCCAGACGGGGGAGATCCGGAGATGGGTGACTGAATTTGTAAAAGGTACGTTCCTTGTAAAAACTTCCGACCCTCAAGGGGAGGAAATAAACTATATATAATACATATATCGATAATCACTAATATCGTGTTCCTAATTTATCTATGGTGAGTTTATTTTATGAAGAAAACTTTATTTTCGACCAAGACTTTTTTATTTTTAATAATATTACCGAAGCACATTATATTAAAGATAGATTATTTTGCAACAATTTGGATGATTAGAAAGTTACTTATACGATTATAATAATCTTTTCAATAATAAAGATATCAAATTTATGAAATCAATAAATATCAGAAAGAACATAATAAACAAAGAAATTGTATTATCTAAATCTAAAATTTCAAGATTTTATTTATTACATTTCCAGGAATTACAAAAATGCTGAATCTCGGAAACTAAAAATTACGACAATTAAATGCCTAAAAAATTGACAAAGTATAGCAGAATATAAACGCAGCAAGGATGCTATACTAGCTAAAATTCCAAGTATTTTCCAAGAATTAGAAAAAACATGATTTCGAGAAATCCTAGAATTTGAAGTTTCACGATTTCAAATGACATGAAAAATTTAAGATTTAAATCATATTACAAAAAAGATTTAAGTTATACATTGTGCATAGTTTTTTTTTTATTTGGCGCAATTTTTTGCGTCATTACTTTAGTAAGAGAAACATTTGACCAATATAAGATTGCATATAGGTAAAACAGCACTATTTTATTTCGTATATTTTGTATACATGAATTTACATACTTTATAAAAAGATACAGTCAATGCAATTGAAATCCTTATATAGAAAAAAGTTATTGCTTATCCCAATTATTAGAATTGTATAATCTTGTATGATCCAAGTGCTAGTTATCGATTATTTCGAAATTGGTTGATCCAGTCGTTACTAAGATCCGATAAGCTGAGATATTCTAATTAGAGAGGCCGCGTTGATACACGGACTACTTTACTGTTTGCTGTGCGTGACTTGGCGCGAGACACGACAGTGTCTCGTGATTCCACTTCTTAGCTAACTAGTCTTAATCGCTCTCTAATCTAGAAGGTGATTATTGAATCGTTCGTTCATTAAGAAGATAAATCCATCCAAATCTAGAGAGAGAAAGAGAGTATCTCACGTCCTCAAACGATTTTGGATTATCAATATATCGCGTCATAATTTAAAACGAAATTTAAATAACGATAATAAACATCTTAGAAATTATATAAAAGCTTTGATATTATTTTTTAAATAATTTCTTCAATTTTTCTTTTCTTAATTAGAGTGCTACATTACATTAAAAATAAAGTTAGTAATAGTTGTTGTATTATTAGTTGACAGATTTAAGCGTCGTGCAAACTTATTACGCTTGTCATCGTAGGAATAGCTTGATACTTATGTAAGGGTGGACGTTTACGTACGAATTAAAATAATTCGGTTAGTTTATCGAGCTTCTGGCGACAAGAAATCAACAATAGGAGCATGGTACAATCGATAAAAGCTGTAATAATCTGTGCATGGCAGAGCTTAGGACCGAGTCTTTCAGACACGCCAACCGGCGGTTCCTGGCACCAGCTCATCTTAGCTAAATTTTTCAACTTAAATTTCACTCCTCTTCCATGAATTTCAGTGCTTTCTATAAATTAAAGAATGACAGTGTGTTTAGCATTTTTACTTCAAATTAAATAACGCATGTAGTCTCGCTAAATTACGCATATAAAAATTTACTGATATTTAAATATTTATCATACCTAAGCCACATTTTGCAGTATAAGATATTGAAAGATATTTCGATCGTTTATTTTTTTTTGTGGGCTGCGTTCCAATTATACCGTTGTTTGATTGTTGCGATGCCATACGACATACATGTATTATGGATTTCCGTATGCGCGCATTTTATCGTACCGCTATTTCATATCCAGAGTCCGTGCAGTTTCAGGATATACATATGCGTGTTATTATTTATGATTACAGAGAAAACGTTTCGTTAGCGGAAGAAGGCGCGTCTTGCTGCATAATGCGGTAATTCCGTACCGCGAGCGTACATACATCTCACATTCGTTCCGCGATAGGTTCTTTTTTTTCTATCGTACAGCCCACTCGTAGAGACAATTGCATTTTTTATATTTCAATCCTATTTCGGTTATTACCACGAGTGTACCCTTCGTCGTTTCTTCCTTAGTCCGACGTGTATTAAAATGCATAGCGTGCACAACGTTGCGTATGTATCTATATATAGAGACATGTTTTCGCGACAGCAAAAAAAATACGCGTATGTATGCTGCTTCCGGTTTCCGCGAGCGGCGCCGTGACAACCGCTCAGAAGACAATTGAAAACTGGAAACTCGTCTTTTTCGCATATGGAGAAGAAAGAGGTTCCCAAAGATTCCCGAAATACTTATCGCCTCTTCCGAATGATTACGCTGTGTTTGGAAGGAAGAGATGTTATCGTGTGATGGGGCCTAGACGTTCAATGTTACACAATACTCGATGGACGAATTGCATTTGCAGAAAAGGAAATCCTACACGCCAAGTTCCTCGTCTAACCTACATCAGAGGTACTCCCTTATGTTAGAAAAATGTAAAATTTTAATATTACATTAAATATTGAATCTTTCAGCACACAAACTCATTAACATTTAGCTTCAATTCAATTAATATTCTTCGAAACTAGTATTCAATTTTCAGTATTAGTTTGCAAAATTTAATGTACCTCTTCTTAAATTACTTTTATATATTTTGAATCTTTTATTGGCAATATCCTGTTAGTTGGTTAATGGTTGATTGCTTAAATATTTTTTTAACATATTAAAAATATTTGACATCGTTCGCAATCATTATTGCAACATCCTGCCATATTTACAAAGCCGTGGAGCATAGGTACTAGAAATTTATTGCTATTGGCACGTATATTAAGGATATTTAATATCAGATCTTTCACTCGCATGACATTTTACAATAGATTGCTGACGTAGCTCATAAATGAATATGTGTAGGCGCGGCATTGTGAGCACGCTTTATAGCTGCGTCTGATATTGGCAGGAAAAGGAACCAATAAACGGATCGTCAGTAATAGAGCTAGCGTGCAATCGGCGGCACCGATGACTATCGATTTAAGATTACGCTCCGATCGATCGTGAGAAAAAGTTTCGCGGTCGAATCGCTCCTATTTGCGTACGAAATTCGCGTCCGCGTATCCAGTTGCTATTGATCCGAATTGCATCGGCGATTCTCATTTGCGTAACACGCATCGGACACAGCTTCCTTTTGCGACGAGAAAGAATATTATTTTCGAGGGAAAAAAAGAGATTTTTGTAACGAATATTTTCTGAGCGTGCATAATCTCGCAATTAGGTAGCATTTTATTTCATTGTTTCACAACACGCGACGTAGAAGTTTTTTCACTAATTAACATTCGACATAACGGGGCCAGTCGTGTCGCGTTCCTATGGGAGTCGATTACAGCCGTTGATTCTACTTGACACGTAATGCACATTGTAGGCACTTAATCGAGGCCGCCGTTACCCGCCGCTCGGGAAAAATCGACGCTTTCCGCGCCAACATTTTTCTTCCTACCCCTCGTAATAGAAAAGGGTCCGATTCGAAGGCGGAGGCGTAATCGCTCCCAGTGCACAGTGATTTCTTTCTAATTGGGAAAGAGGACCGTTTCCCAATACGAAACGAGATAGACTATATCTTTCTTCTAATATTCCAGACAGATTGCCTTTCGTACAATACAGTACGCGCAGATTTCCTCCTCCGTTTATGACGCAACGTAATAATGCACAATTTTTATCATATTTTTCTAAAATAAATAAGAGAAACGACATTTCACGCGGTTAGCTCTGCTCCTGCATAATTTCATTCGAATCGACTCATTTAAAAATAGAGTGCCGCTTTCTCGTGCACGACGGGTTGGTCGTTACATAAAGGATCGCAGCCTCGAGACCATATATTCGCTCCTCTCTCGAAGCAACGCATACAATTCACCCTTCGCACCGACGCGACGCCGGCGTCTCTTTTCTTTTTCGCCCCGTCCCGAATATGTATCCTATTTTATTCAGCGCGCCGAAACTCTCCGCGCGCGCGGTCCAGAGAGGATCGCGAGGGTATTCGCGGTCGCCGCGACAGAGGACGTCGAGTATTGATTAAGGGGGGTTCGCCGGGAGGAATCTCTCCCTCTCTCTCTCCCCTCCCCCTCGGTAAGGTCGTCGGGCGTCGTTCCTCGGCGCGAATGCATGGGGATGAATGGGGCACGGTGGGGAACGCGCACGCACCGAGTGCGTCTGCGCTCTGCGCGTCGCACGCAGTGCTCCGATGCGCTTCGCCCGAACCGGGTATCCACGGTCCGCGCTTTCGCCGGGACGGTGACGGCACGCACGTGGTTGTCCGTCGGCGGCGCCGGACGGAAGGGAGGCGAGATCGAGCGGACGAGGGAGAATCGGCGGCCCCGGAGGAATCGGAATGACGATTGACACGCTCGACGCGTCGTTACCTACGGGCCACGGGTGTTTCGCCCTTTGAGAGGGACCCGCTGTAGCGTGAGTAATCGCCCGTTTCATGTCTTCCTTGGAGGACCTCGATTTTGGGGGACAACTGCGAGAGCGGTTCAACCCGAAAAATTGATTCCATCTTAGATAAATTTGTTATTGCGCTTTACTTTGAATCTTCATCTTGTAGCAATGTGCTATAAACACCATTATAATAATAATTATTATCCAATAATATTGGGGAAGCTTGGAGAAAATATATATCGTTGTGATATTGAATAGGTCTTTAATATAGCGGACTACTGATGCATATCCAGTCGGTCGTGCTCCACTTATTGTTAATACTTCTTTTTGCTCCTTTACTGTAAATATTAAAGGATGAAATTTGAACCAATATACCTTGAGTTAAGTAACATTTCGTTATTTTTAACTATTATGTGTGTCGAAATTTATTATTTTAACACAAAACAGTATTATTTTAACTTCATTGATTCAGTTAAATTAATATTGTTTTAGTTATATTAACGA